CCACTCATTATTTAAAAGTAAATAATTTTACCGAATTTTCAAGAATACAACCGATTTTTTACCCAGACCAATTTTGGAGAGAGGGGCTTCAGTGGACGAAGGGTTCCTCTTAAATACATACATATGTAAACATGTATCTACCTATGCATGTATGTGTTTGTACAAAAATTTTACTCAACTCTTCTGGCTATTTGCTTTTGTTATTCTTAATAATAAATATTAGCGATTTTTATCTTTCCTTGACTATAAGAGGCCTTGACCTGATAGCAGACATTTCATATACCAATTTCCTTTTCTCTTTTGTGTGAGTTCCTGTTTTGGATTTTTCTTTCGCAAGAAATATGGCAGACACAAAAGTAAGTATCTGTTTATTATTATATAAATAATATGCCAGGCAGTGCCCGTACTTCGAAAAAATTTATAGTGATAGATTTTACATACTAAAAATGGTAGAAGTTGGTAAATTTTTTAAGAGAAGCATTAATAGCTAGTTTCTACGCGTATAGCATAAATCAAGGCAAATTCATGGAAGGCGGTGTTACCAGGGCAGCTGGATTTTCGCCTCGGTGGTCCTTAATGTCAAAACCTATACATTAAGCTGGGCCCGAATCACGGCATCCGTGATCGAGTGAAACTCGATTTAAATCGAATGAAATAAAATGGCAGCTGTTTTCTCTTCAATACAATTTTAACTAAAAAAGGGAGCTTAATAGGAGGCTTAACCAAGTTTTCTCCACTACAAAACTTATTTATTAAAATTAGATTTGAAGTGCTTGAAATTTTCAACCGATTAGTTACATAACAGCTCATAGAGTTGCAATTACACTTTTTAATTGGTTATGGTCAGAGTTAACTTTTCATTTTTATTCTAGGTGTATTCGATAACAAAATATCTTTACACCACGTTCATTTGAATCTCTTTTCTCACTTTCCGGACAATATTAGTAGATTTTTAGCCTTTGATGGTAAAAATGGTAGAAAATAAAATCTAGCTAAAAAGTGGTAAGATCTACTAATAAAGTGATAAAGTCCGTGCACTGATGCGAGTGCCCGATACCACCCACTTTATGTTCCCTTTGTTGGTTATCGGACTGTGGTGAGA